TTTTGGAAATGGCTCCTAAAATTGATTCATAAATGTACTTTCCGAGGAAAAGTATTCCTATCAACGAATTGCAAAGCCGAAGAAAATCGAGATTACTGCATTTCAAAGAAAGGTATTGTTAATATATTAAATTTGAAAGGGAAAAGGGAAAAAAAAAAAAAAAAAAAAAAAAAAAAAAAAAAAAAAAAAAAAAGAAAAAAAAAAAAAATGACCCCAAAATCAAAATCTAAGAACATTCGAAAGCGAGTAAATATATTAACTCGAGTCTTTGATCCTGAAAGAAAACCCATCAACTCCAAGACTCATTCCACCAGAACTCTGAACGTTTGCCGGCACTGTAAGTAAAATCATTCATAAAGATTTGAAGTTAAAAAAGATGTTTTAATCTAAATTCATCTGCTTTTGCCAAAGCATATTGTGGAAAAGAAAACCAAAGTGTAGAAAATTATATGAAAAACACCTAACTACTGATAAATGGAAATTTGTGGTAACACTTGATGTGGCATTGTTACATTTCAGAGACTATGAAAAAAGATCAGTTTTCTATTGCTCAAGCTGTAGAGACATTAGGTATTTTTTGAAAGCAGGAGAGATGCAAAATAAGCAATGCCCTCGCCGGGATTCGAACCACAGACCTCTCGAATATGCTTCGGGCGTACTGACCACTACACCATGAAGGCATGCTAAGAAGGCGGGAGAAATACCTTATAAAGTGACAAAAATGACCAAACGAAATGGCTTTGCCAATGTACAAGTTCCCAACGGGGTTCATGATAGCTGCAGGATTTTATTACAACGTTTAATAAAAACTGAAAAAAGTTTTAGGTAAGTCTAAAATTAATTCACTGTACTATCAGCAGGATATTTTAGAACTAATTGTTGAAGAAGAAATTCCAGCTTTGTTTGGAAAGGACATCAATAAAGTTGAGCTTTATATGGACAAAAGCCTCTTGTTACAAGTGATGAGTCGGTGCTACCGAACCGGGTATTTTGTAACGGGTACTGAAAATCGGTACATCTAAGTACCCGTTACTTCAGTACCGAAACGGATACTTTTCGGTATTCGTTACTTCTGTACCGAAACGGGTGCTTTTCGGTATTCGTTACTTTGTAACGAAAATATGCGTCTCTTCTCGGCATTTCGGTATTCGTTACTACTGGAGGATCGATGAGGGTTCAGCTCACTTCGGTTTTGGTACGAGGACAGTAGTATCTGGTTGTATTTGCGAAATTGTGATATGCGCTCCTTGTGTCCATGAATGGTCTGCTCCTCAGACACTTCCGTAGTTGACATGTTTTCTGATATTCAAAATCTTACTCCGTACAGATAAAATCAAACACGTGATGACGTGGCAAAGTTCCTTCAGTGCGCAAAATCGTTAGCTGCGTATTTCGGTACTCCAAATCGTTACTAGGGTACTTTGGTACTCCGAATCGTTACTAAGGTACTCCGGTACAGTAAACCGTTTACTAGGGTACTCCGGTATTTCGTTACTTCGGTACTCCAAATCGTTACTTGGGTACTTGGGACTTGAAATCGGTTTTCTGTACTTTTCAAAGTAACGGTTAGTTGAGTAACGGGTATTTTGTACCGGGTACTTGTTTGTACCCGTTACTATCGTACCGGGTACAAGAATGTACCGAAGTTGCCCATCACTACTTGTTACACTTTGAAGGAGGCAACTACCACTTACTTAGCAAAGAAAGAGTCGGAAACAGGAATCATGAAACGCGTACAAAATCACTTGATGTTTCTCCTGTGGACTTCTGCGTTTTAGGTTTGTTAAAAGGAGCTTTAGGGAAACGACATCTAAGGATACTGAACGGAAAAAGACCAAAGAGGAGTAGGATAAATTGACAACGAAGAAATTTTATTTTCGTGGAAAATTCTAACTAGAGTTATAGCCAAGAAATTAGGCTGTCAAATGGCTGCAATAAATAGCCCCTTAATGCATCAAAATTGAATATCAAAATCGTTTGAAGAGCCTTCTAGGTTATCTTAGCATTCTGCTATTTATTTTTAGTGACGTGTAGCTGCCAACTCGACAATGGTAATCACGGTATGTCCCGAGTATTAATTTTTAACCTTTACTAAAAGGAATGTTTCCTAGAATGAATGGTGCTTGAATTGTTCCAATTCTATTATTCCCCCTTCAGTGATAATTAGTATTATATTTTTTTATGAAGCTTTATTTAATCTGAATTGTCTTACCGTAGACATTTGTATAACTTTTTATAAGGATCTGGTCAATGTTTAATTAGTTAATATTCGTTCTTAATTTTGTTTTATATCAATATTTACTACATTCAATCGGGCAAAGCAACAACCTCGTGTTTGGCTTAGATTTTAACCAAGACTCTTATATCGATTTCGAAGGCAACAGGTACAGGTCTCTCTTCATCAGGAGCACGGAAATTCTGCAACTAAGGGAGGAACCACAGACGTATTTGTGCAAAAAACAAAGTCATTGTTCGCTTTTCTTTTCTTTTAGTATAAATACGGTTTTCGCTTCTCCCTTGTTTGTAGAATTTCTTTAATCCTGATGAATAGGGACCTGGACAAATTCGCTCTCGAAACTGTTACAGTCTTGGTGAAAACTTACCCAAACACAAATTTGCTACTTTAACTGTACGTTTTACTTTAGCGTGTTTCTCTTTCTTGATTTAGAAAAATTTTTTGATTAGATTTTCTTGATTTTTTCTTGATTGATTACATTATTAAGTTTATCCGCATATAGTATATATATTAATTATTAATTTTATTCATTATTCCATGTAATATGGACCAGACAAACAACAACAACAGTTATTTTTTCATCGATTGAAAAGTATATTAATAAGTAAAAGCTCTACTTTCCATTCAGGATTTTCTCAGTATGAAAGTGTGAGAAAATACAAAATGAAATTAGCCAACGAACATAAAAGTTACAACATCAGGTACAGGTCTCTCTCATAGGAGCACGGAAATTCTGCAAAACTAGGGAGGAACCACAGACGTATTGTGCAAAAAAACAAGTGCATTGTTTCGCTTTTCTTTTCTTTAGTATAAATACGGTTTTCGCTTCTCCTTGTTTGTAGAATTTCCTTTAATCTGATGAATGAGGGACCTGGACAAATTCGCTCTCGAACCTGTTACATTCTTGGTGAAAACTTACCAAACACAAATTGCTACTTTAACTGTACGTTTTACTTTAGCGTGTTTCTCTTTCTTGATTTAGAAAAATTTTTGATTAGATTTTCTTGATTTTCTGCTTGTTACATATTAAGTTTATCCGCATTAGTATATTATAATGTATTAATTTTATTCATTATTCCATGTAATATGGACAGAAACAAACAACAACAGTAATTTAGTTTCAGTATTGAAAGGATATTAATAAGGAAAAGCTCTACTTTCCTTTCAGGATTTTCTCAGTTGAAAGTGTGAGAAAATACAAAAATGACAGTTAGCCAACGAACATAAAAGTTAAAAAATCTAATTAAGTTCTATATGGCGTCACGAAATTAGGTGTAATACTTTTAATGAAATTATGGTACTTTCGTTTCGCCGGCGAAATCTCGCCAGCAGACGTTATTGGCGACAACATACAGGTAACATCAAAAATGTTAACAAATGTTAGTTAGAATGTTTATTTTGAGGAATAAACAATTTATATCATTAAAATTTGTAAAAGCCAATAAATAAGACAATAATTTTAAAAAAACATTAAGAAAAATTTAATGCTTCATGGTTCAAATCCGATTCGCGGTTGTATCACGTGACCCAAAGCGATCTCTCTCATGAAACTATGCTACAAAAACTCTCATTCTTCAGTAATACTACATTATTTCAAAGTAAATCTAATTTAGATGCAAGTTTAAATGAAAAAATAGTCAGTCGACGAAAGTATCAGAAATTAGGTAAAACTGCAGTGCTTACTTAGCTAGTGCATTTCATAAATTGATGAATAAATCCGGTTTGCTTTCTATTTTTCGCATTCGATTGAGCGGTGCGATTGCATCCTAATGATTTAATTACGCGAATAGCTTGAGCATAAATGAACATTGTAAGAATTCTAGTATGCCAGTGGGAAATAAGCAATCAATCGAAGAATGGCTCGACTTGTTTTGAAAATGAGGCGTAAAAGGTTACCAGGGAGGATATCCCGTTTGGCATCAGTTTTACCATTATTGGCGACTTTATCGCCTGCGTCGGTAAAACGGAAAAGTACCGTAATGGTATGTAAATTATAGTAGCTCTTTTATAATATAATATGGAATGCCTCAAAAAATGTATCAATCCGCCGGGAAAATAATGTAACGGCGGCAAGTCCATTTAACATTGAAGTAAATGTTGCCTATAAGCTGGCGATGGTTTTAGCAGCTGAATCTTACTCAATATTTGGCGAGAAGTCACCCAAAGTTGGCGACATTTTGGTCCGATTCCTGTATGACTAATTGGCCTGATCTTATATGCAATTGTAACCGTATATGCTTTTCAGCAATTTAGAGAAATCGAAGGTACTGGAAATTTCTCGGCAGACGGGGGAAAACTGTATTAGACTGGAGATAGTCAGTTCAGCTCAGATTTGTGTTCAGAGTTTAGTTGAGAGTATTCAGAGATCAGTATGCGAGGTTACGCTGAGGCCTTTGTTTTTGTATTGTCATGTGTTCAACATTCTTAGGAGTTTGAAGTGGTAACTACTGTTTGTGCTATATCATACTGAGAAGAGCTGTACGAATACTCCCAGAACTGTAAAGTGCTTCGTTTGGGAAAATAAATTTTATCAAGTAGTCATCGGTTCTGTGTGCATTCAATCCATTACGAACCCGTACGCACGTAACCATATTTTTCATTAGAATTGTCCTATAAATAGCTCATTAACCTTACTGTGTGGTAGTTTGAAATGTTTGCAAGTATCTCAGATGGAGGGGATACCGACTTAATTACTGTTTTAATTTTACATATGGAAATAGCTCATGTAATTTTTCTTTCTAACCGGAATTTTCCTTTCTTGCAGACGAAACTCCGTTATGTTCCACATCGTGGAACGTTTCGTGCTGTACGCCCACCATGGAAAGGCGCTACACCGAAGCTAGCAAAAGGGAGTTCCAGAACATGTTGCAGTCCTCCAACGCCTTCCTTCAGAACCTGCTAGCCAGCAGCGCGGCCAAATTTCGCGGTAAGTACCTGCTCTTACATATTCTTATCGGAAATAATGACAAATTTCTTCCGCCCTTGTATTTCAACACTACGTGTAGGTGGAGTAATTTGTTGCCATAAAAGTTACTTCGCATTTTATTTTCAGTGACAACTATTTTTCTTCAGATGCACAGGCAAATTAGATTGTAGGAGAGCATCGAAATAGTTTTTACTATTACTCGAAAAGAAGAGAGCTTAGATCTCCATGTAGCTTTGAGTTTACTATATGTCATTAGCCGTGGGGGGGGGATATCAGCGTAAGTTTGAGCAGTCACTGTGAGAATCATTCAAAGTTACTTAAAGTCGCAAATTGACTTAATCGCATTTTGTGGGTACACTCTTAAATTTTTACTCTTACCGCTACAATAAATCGTATACTATTTTTTTTAATTTTATGTTTTGCTATTCACTGTTTGTAAGATATTGAAAAGATTTGCACGCTTTTTTGTTATTTTTTATTAGGATAATTAATATTTGTATTAAGGGATATAGTTATTATATATTATTATGATTAGATATAAATACTTAATTTATTGAACTTTGTCACAGTTATCTTAATCACAGCGTAACGGTTTACGTTACTGTCTGTCTACGGTAAGAACAGCTCCCGCCCGGTGTATGGCGAGTGGCGGTCGCTATAGCAACAGGGCTAGTATATTTCAAATAGGGACGAACAAGGGTTGCTTTATTGTTATTTTGTTTTTGACGAGTTGGCTTAAGGGAAGTTATCATTGTCTTCTCGGCTTCATTCAGCTGCACGCATCTTTTTTATGCTTATATATTACTATTAGCTCTTTTATTCTTGTTATATCGCTAGCATTTGTCAAATTCGCTTCTATTTAGCTTCATTTTCGTAGTGCTTGTTAATCGCCAATTTAAAATGCATTCCAGTTTTAAAAAAGGTCAACCTTTAAAATCTCAGTCACGTCAAAATGGTTAGTGTCGCAGAATTTGCTTCTGAAGCCGGCGAACTCTTCGTAGTTCTCTTCCTTAAGTTGAAGAGCAAAGTATCAACAATGGGTGAAATAAACTTTGAATACATGGAAAGAAATGTAAAAGCCCTGCTAATCATAGTGTGAAATTGACGATTTTGACAAATGCGTTCTAGGCAGACAATGCAAGACTTTTACATCAAAGAAAAGTGCTCTGTGCGGAAATTGCCTGCCTGAGCAAAAATAGACTTCCTGGGCAAAAGATCTTGTGCAAAGTTTGTGTTCAATGAATTTTCGTTGATGCGTAGAGAAAAAAAAAAAAAAAAACAAAAAAAAAAAAAAAAAAAAAAATTTTTCGAAAGAACTACATGTTTTGGAGGAACAATTTTTACGCAATGAGAAAAACTAAGAGCAAGTGAAAAAATCGTTCATATCGAGGAAACATGATTGACAGCAATTAACTTTAAGAATGTTGGCAACAGATACGGTTTGGGCGCACAGCCAGTTCCCTTAGCAAGCCCTCCTGAAGGCATACTCCTTTAAGCATTAACCTTGGAGTTTCCGTAATCAATAAACCAACCCAAACCATGATAATTAAGGAAAAAGCAAGTTTGATTTAATTCACCTTCGCTTCCTTCCGCATAAATAACCAGCTTTGGTTTGTTAAAGTATGGAAAAGAAGAAATGTCGAAAAAGTATTATGAGAGAGGGGTATGTAAAAACGCTTTACTTTCAAGAGATTATAACATTTAATGATGAAATTTTGTAAATAAAGCACAACATAAATATCAGAAAATTTGAAAAAACAGAGCAGAAGTCATTAAAGACTGAAGAAATGCTTTGAAGTTCACGTAGATCAGCGAGAGGGAAAACTAAAAAATTAAGTTTTTTATATATGAGGCGTCTACTCGTATATAAGTTCGTTACTCGTATTAAAGAGAATGGGCAATCAAGTAGATTTCTAAGAGTATCTATGATTGCAGCAAAAAAATAACAAAAAAGAAGCAAAATAATAGCATGATTATTTTAAGTCGAAATTAAAATTTTTTTCAAAATAAACCGGATTTTAAATTTATTCCCTACAGTTATTTACTATTGTAATCGGGGATGGCAATTCAGCGCCTGTACTCACACGGAAAATCAAAGACCGTTTCTTGAATGCAAAGCTTTATCTACCCATCGAATTCATTTCGGAAATGGAGTCGGGTCGACGCAAGGTCACAAGCATTTACTTGAACTAAAAAAAAAGTGATATCGCCAAATCATTTTAAATGCGACGAGGTGGAATCGAAGTAAGCTTCACGCACCCCTACGAAAATGGTTGGTCGTTTCTACGGCAACAGACAGCTGCAGACAAACTGGCGAGAGCTGTTCTTACCATAGACAGACAGTACAAGGATCCGCTCAAGATGGACTCAGGTATATAACCGACACTTGACGGCGTATTGTCGACATTATGAAAATGAAATTTTAGTAACGATGACATATTCAGTTAGAGAATTAAACTGTATTGTCACAAACATTCTGTAAAACGTCATCGGTTTAAGATCGACACAACTTAGAACTGGTAACACAGTCGATATTGGCTTAACATATCCGAGTCTTATATTACTGAGTATAGTCAAGAGGGGAAGAATTTAATTAAATAATTATTTTTTAGGATGTCTGCTTGGGCTCGACATCAGCGTAGGTTCGGCTAGAATCGACATTGAACCAGGTTATGAACTGTGGCGATCATGTGTCAGCAGAGAACCCTGCACTGTGCATGTGTTATTTCTGTTTATATGAGCAGTGCGTTTAGGAGTGTGCAGTGTATTTATTTTATATGAGGAGTGTTATGATTACATTTTTACTTGTAGTGAGAGTTAAACTTCATTTACTCCATTAAAACGTAACAAACAGAATACAAACCAAAATAACTCAAAATTCGTATTCTGAACTCTGCACTTGCCATCAGCATTGTAGGCTCTTTGTGCAGGAGATATCTGGAACGTCCAGGACGTGCTACATTTGCTTGTTGACACATACTGTTTACTAAAGTTACTTTAGGTTTTATAGGAATGCTATACTTTCGTACGAGGAGGAAAACCGGTATTCTACAAGAATTCTTTCATACAACTGTTGACGCTAATATGAGTTGTAGTGCCTGAAGATGCTTGAGTAGAAAAATCTATTTGAAATTCACTGCAGTTAGAGCCGAAGAGACATTTCTCTTCATTTTTAATTAAATACTTCTTTGAAGCTTCTCCTAATATGTTGTCACTCTTCAATTAGCAGCTGTTCAGCTGTTTTAATTCTTAAATGCCAGTTATTTTAAATTATGTGATTCTTTTTTTTTCCCCCATTTAAAGTGGCACATTGAAGGTAATTGCATTATTTTGAGTTTGTGAAGTTCAATAAGCATGTGAGCTGCTTTAAAATTTTTATGTTATTCGTTGCGTTATCTCTTAAACTATTTTTATGAGTTTATGTGTTATTTACAGTCAAAAGTCGTTAATTCGGACACCCATAATCCGAAATGATCTATAATCCGGACCTCAAAGCTAAAAACTTTCTGCGCATGCGCCACGTTGACACATGCGCATAGGCGTTTACGCTTGCGCGTAAGACCTTTTACGACTGCGCATATGCGTGTGAGCAAGCGCAGAATACGTTTTCGCGTTCGCGTTTTACGTATAACGGACGGTAAGCTAAAATTATCTTAATTATCTATTTCAGTTAATGTTGATGATTGCGTTGTTCCTTAATCTTCGAATTGGATCCGGCTTATTATTTTTTGCAGACTGTAAGAGCAATTTTATAAAAGTAAACTTGAACTTTCGATTATGTCCAAATAGAATTTCCGATTCTGGAGCTCCCAAAGGATCGTACAAAACGAAAGTATGTTTCGATGTCCATCAAAACAAAAAGTGGAAATTGCTGCAAAAAAAAAATGGATAAAGACATGAAGAATGTGACAGAGAGGTTAGTGAAAACGAAAAAATTTCGATTGAAGTTAGTCGGTATTCTCGGCACAGCAATTACGGGACTTGAACAGCGGAACTCTTAACTGAACAAGAAATTATGTCTGTTTATAGAATTAAAGAGAAAGTATTATCACATAAAACGAAGCAACTTAAACAACTTACATTGAAAGAAATGTTTAATAAAGTAAACAAATAAATATTAAGCATTTATTTTGTAAATTTTGATACCCTTTAGATCATAATTGTTCTTTATTTCATAAATTACGGTTTCATATTTTTAATTTTAGAATTCGTGCATGCCATCTTACGAGATTTAAACTGATGATCTATAATCCGGAAAAATCGATAATCCGGAATCGCCGAAGTCCCGACGAGTCCGGATTAACGACTTTTGACTGTACTTGATTCCAACATGTACAGATGTATAACTGCGCCCACCAGCGGTCGAGGGATAAAGTCGCTGAATACATGGGCGCTTTCGTTGTTTTCCGTATGTGTAAGAGCCAGTTGTCCTTAGAAAACCGTATAAGAAGGCATCCCGTCCCTTAAGCAGATAGCCCTCGAGTGCTTTTCTATAAACAGGAATACGAAACCAAATCTATGATTCGTCTAAAATAAATTAAAACATCCGATTTCCATTAAAATATAATATATATATATGGGTCCAGCTTGTGCCGGCTAGGAGGATTGGGGCTGTGCCCTTATAATGATAATGATAATATATAGTGTAATCCCTAGGTATAAGGAGAATAGAATCCATTTTTGCTAGAAAATCGTCCAAGAAGGCATTTTTTCTCACTTCTTCTGTGGAACATAGCCCTCGCATGCTTGGTTTAATTTAAATCAATCAAATAACAAAATTTGTAAGAAAGGTAACATTTTACTATTATTTAAAATTGTTTTAGTATCCGATGAATACTTATTTCGCAAAAAATTGTTTTAAATATTCATATGTGAATCTATTGTATGTTTGTTTTGAATTAGGAACAAAGCATTTCGTATTTATTTCGGATTGAGAACTAACTATGCGATAGACTTCCTATAGTAAAATGTAAATTTAAAGTAGAACAAAATCCGTTTGCTGGAACTGCTAATCCCTCTAGTGTTAGATATTTCTGTCGTAAACGCCATACAGATTCTGCATCTGAAACGGTTCT